AAAATGAGCTAGGTTTATTTTTCCCCTTTTGCAGCTGATAGATTACAAGTGTTGTTTAATTTGTGTGATCTACTTAAGAAATGAATACCTGATTATTTTTTTCCAGAGAACTTCACATTTTGTACCATTTTCTCTATTCAAAGCAGAATGTCCATAACCTTCAGTGAAAACTATGAATGGCCAGCACTTTTTTCAGAGTAAGTCCTGGGTTTAAACTCAAGCCTACACAAAACGGGAAGCACACCCTTCATACAAATAATTTATTTTGTGTGGCTTGGAAGAACTTGGGTACAGCCAGCGACAGAGTTGAGTTCTCTGAGCACCACTCTGCAGGCTGAGCGAGACCCTTACTTGATCTTCACGATGCCTTTCTTTCTCACTGTGCAGAGTACAACTGCCGCTGCAAAAGAAGTAAGGATTGTACAGACAACACCTTCCCTGAAAGACCTTAGTTGACAAGGAGACCGCTGTATATCCTGTGCACTGAATCAGGCAGGGAAGTGCTGGAAAAACAGTTATGTGACCATGTATCATGATGGGCCTTGATATATTAGTTACACAGGCAACTTTAATTCTGAAATTTCCTAAACTTTTTTTACTGAATGGTCAATCTTAGCGTTCTTTAATATAGTTTTTTTTGTTGTGTGCAACTTCCCAAATTGATTCCCTCTTCCCTCCCCAAGAAAAAAACAGATAATAGAACATATGGAGCAGTACCAACACCCACAGCGCTGCCTCACAGAGCCTGCATTACAGCATCTCCTTCAGACCCAAAATCTACAGTTCATCAACAGAGTTAACTTTCCAACTGCCATATCAGACCTTTGACCATCAAGCAAAGAAAGGAATTTCTAATGAGAGAAACAAACGTTGCTGTCCTCGCCACCCAAAGAACTTAAGTTACCCATTTTGTGCCTGCTCATTATGGCTATTTAGTAACAGCAAAAGGACACGGACGCTTTGGAAGCCCAAGGTATAACCAAGGGCTGGAGGAACAGGCTTTTGTAGTCACAAGGCTTTCTGCCCTCACCCTTTTCTGATCTTTGTCCCCATGTGTTCCTCCCCGACCATCTCTGACCTCCACCTCGCTGTAGCTGCCAGGCCCAACTTCAAACTTGTGTTCCAGGCTGCTGCTTCTCTCCTCCCGTGGCCAAGCTCAAAGAGCAGCCACGCCAGGACCTACCGACAGCTTCTTTACTCAGCTTCTGGTCTGGGAGGTTCAGTGCCTTCTGGATGAAGGGAAAAACAATTACAGAGAAAGTCTCACTTAGCTACTGCTGCCCGAGGTTAGACCCAGGATTGCTTGGAGCAAAGGGGAGCTACAGAAAAATTCTGTCACTCTTGAGCACAGCAGGGCTTGGATAAACTTTATTTTAACTTGGAAATATTTGGACAAATTTTCACAGGCAGTGCAGCAGGCATATCTAAGGATGCAAAAGGTAACAAGTCTGCCAAATTCTAAGTCCTTGTTCTGGAGTATGAAAGAACTAAAGCTTTCCAGCCAAACTGTTTAGAGAATTTAAGAGGAAAAAAACTTTTTTATTTTTATGATCTCCTTCTGAGAAATAGCCGAACAACTTTCACTTAAGTTTCCCAGAAGAATTCAGGTTGGAGCAGACAATCAGCATGGAAGATGTTAGCTGGAATAGTGAAGGTCTGGCAAAACAATGAGGTACTGCAAACAGGGCCTTGTAATTCACCAAAAAGATACCTGTGCCTCACCAAATAATGTAGGTATTTTCAGTGTAGGCAGTTGATTAACATTTTCTAAAAACATATCAATTTTATATGCAATATATTCCTCCATTTTGAATTTTTTTTCACATTTTGTTGGCACTTGTCTTGAATGTTTCCTCACCAGATAATTTTCCTACTGATCTCTCTAAGCGGGGTCTTACAACACTTCTAAATCAAGCATACCATGCCATTGGACCCTGAAACTGGTAGAGAGAATCTAGAAAACATGCACAAGTCATAAATAGAGGCAACTGTCTTCTCTGCAAGCATCGGAAGACAAAAGGGCTAGGAAACAGTTCCGATATAATCATTTTAGCAGGTTGTTAATTTCTAAATATAAACCCTACAATTTGAACAGAAACATTATCTCTGTGCCTGGGAAGATCATGGAACAGATCCTCCTGGAAGCTATGCTAAGGCACATGGAGGACAGGGAGGTGATGTGAGGCAGCCAGCATGGCTTCACCAAGGGCAAGTCCTGCCTGACTAACCTAGTGGCCTTCTATGATGGAGTGACTACATCAGTGGACGCGGGACGGGCTAGAGCTGTTGTCTATCTGGACCTCTGTAAGGCCTTTGACATGGTCCCCCACAACATCCTTCTCTCTAAACTGGAGAGGTATGGATTTGATGGGTGGACTGTCCGGTGGGTGAGGAATTGGCTAGATGGTCGCATCCAGAGGGTAGTGCTCAACAGCTCAATGTCCAGATGGAGATTGGTGATGAGTGGCGTCCCACAGGGGTCCATATTGGGACTGGTACTGTTTAATATCTTCATCAGTGACATAGACAGTGGGATCAAGTGCACCCTCAGCAAGTTTGCAGATGACACCAAGCTGAGTGGTGCAGTCGACACGCCAGAGGAACGGGATGCCATCCAGAGGGACGGGATGCCATCCAGAGGGACCTGGACAAGCTCGAGAAGTGGGCCTGTGTGAACCTCATGAGGTTTAACAAGGCCAAGTGCAAGATCCTGCACCTGGGTCGGGGCAACCCCCGGTATCAATACAGGCTGGGGGATGAAG